CCTAAAATTACTGCTTTTACATTTTTCCTAAAGACTCCTCTGTCTCCTTTTCATTCACTTCGTTGGTGTATTTGGTTCTAGATGGTTTGCACCATGGATGGCTTCCTTGTCTCTAGTTCCTTTCTTCTAACACTTTATTTTTCTCCACTAAGTAATGACCTCTCTGCTATTTTTTGAATCAATCATATTTACAATTATCCTCCTCCTAATATTTTGCTTCACATTCACGTTTCATGCTGCAGATATTCTGAGGAAAAGGCTGCAAAAAATGGGTGACAGTTGAAATGCTTTCTCTCTGCTGAGGCCACATGGGACTGAGGCAAGTGCCAAAATCTTAATATGATAGTTTAGAGCCCATAGGTCAAGGGACTGAAGAACAGGAGAGTAACATCCTTTCTCAACATATGTTTCTACAACCTGCCCTCTAAAATCAGTTTTTTATTGCACAGGACTACCTGGTGAGGACACAGCCTGCAGCACACTCAGCCTCATCATACTCATACCTGCTGAGGTAGGTTCCTCAGCACTCAGAAGTTCTGGTATGTGCTTTACTTCAAATTCTCTTCCTCCTTCTGTCCTCCGCTTTAATAAGGAAATTAAACCTACAATTTGTGAAGTGACAGCCAAAGGGAAAATTAACATAATGTGTTGATGACAGTCAGGCTTCGCTTGGGACAGAGTGTACTGAGGGAGTTCCTTTTTCCTTTATTCCAGTCTTTCCACATATTTGCACTACCTTGGCAAAAATTCTATTCACCGAACTTTGTGTTTCACATTTGGGTGAAATTTTGAAGTGGAAAATTAGAAACATGTAAATTGATTTTTCTTTTCACATGGCTCAGAATTGTACTGCCTAAGTAGTGTTCTTGGTGTCCAAATTTATCAAGATTAAAAAAAAAAAAAAAGTGAATTTCTCTATCATTAACAAATATCTGAAGAATGTAATATGTAGTACAACAAAATCTCAAGCTTAATTCCATTAAAGATACAGATGAATCTTAACACTGTGGAAAATCGTTTAATTTCTTCATAATAAATACGAAGTTTCTTGAAACTTTTTCTGATTTATCTAACTTGGCTTCTACTGAAGACAACTTTTTGGAATATATGCAACATGAATTTGATTCTGGGCAGAGGTTTGTATGTCTTAACTCTACAGCATTCTTTAGAAAGAAATCTAATCCAAGCAAGGAATGAACATCTCAGTTTTTTCTGATCTTTATTTGTACAAGGCAAATGCCAACCTTCACAGACATCAGATTGCATTGGAACAGGAATAATTTCTGAATGCAATGAATTTTCACCTCAATATATTCAATGAAACTCCTGTTTATCTTTGCAACCTGAAATTCCTATCAGGATGAATCCCATCAGAGTTCCAGTAAAATGTAAAATATGATGCAGAAAGGAGTTCAAGTTGCAGTAGAACGCCTCATAGATCACTAACATTTTCTTCTTCCTTTTCATTTTTTACTTTTTAACAATGAAAAAAAAAATAAATAAATTGGCTCCATCTTGCTGTATTTACCCTATTTCAAAATAGCAAAAACTTGGTCAGGAAGTTTTGCCTTTATTCCTTGGAAACTGGAATTCTCAGGATATGGCTAAAGCACGTATTCTACATTAAAAATAAATGTATTCTGAAAATTAAGCTGGTGCTTATTTTCTATGTTTAATGAAAATGAATTAAGCATGTACTTAAGTATTTGTTGGGATTGAAGTCTGCTTGCTGAGTTAGAGGATAGATTTTTTTGGATTAGTTTTTAACAGTCCTCTTAATACAAAACACAGATGGAGCATTCAAATGTCCTGATTGCTCACATGTCCTCATGATCTGTAGCCAGGATCTGGTATGGATTTTTTTTAGTTTAGTCAAAACAGGACTTCATCTGTAATGCACCAGATGGAAGGAAGGGAAAGGATCCAAGTTTTTAATCTTTTTTTTTTTTTTTTTTTTCTTTCCTGAACAGATGTTGTTGAGATGATTGAGCTACACAGCCACAAATCAAACCAAAAGTGGATAAAGAAATATATACAAACATATGTTGATATTTGGTATATGGTTCATGACTACAGTCATCTATGGCTGCCATGAATATCCACCACTTATAAAATGGAGATGACAAGTTTTTTGAGATTACTATTCCTGAACAATTTAATTGTGTGTACATAGTCAAGAGAAAAGCTAACAATGATGCTTTAATAACCATGACCACAGGACCAAGAAACTGGTCAAGAGCAAGTAGCAAATTATGTGGAATAGAATTTTAATAAAAGGAAGGAAAGGTGATCACATGTGGCTGAGATTCAGAGATTGCAGTTTGGGGCAATAATCTCACTGAAAACTGTAAGTTGGGATATTTAAATGCACAGAAAAATAATTGTGTGGGACGCAACTTACTTTTGAGTTAAGAAGTGAAATTTTTCTAAATTCTCCACATGTGATGAACTTGTTAAAATAAGATCGCAGAGTCTACTGATCTCATGATTACTTCTCCTTGTAAAGTAATTCTCATTTTGTGGTGTTTTATATTTATTATTCTCTGCATCTTAAAAATAAATAAATAAAAAGATTTTGATAGTAGTTCCTTTGAGGTAAACTGCAAATGAGATATGCTTCATTTTTTATTTATTTTTTTTAATAAACTCTACTGTTAAATTAACTATATGCCAAACTTTCAAAAAAACTACTAATTACAGCTTATTAAAGCTTGTTCTACGTAGTAACTTCCCTGTTGGAATTCAGTAATTATGAACGAAGGGGATCCCATCAGGCACCTGTTTTACACTTGAAAGCTCAGAATTATTGCTCTACAGAAACACTTTGTATTATATAACATAAGTAAATGAAGGAGATATATAGCAATATTTCTGTTATCTTGCCAGGAAAGACCTGAAATGGAATTTAATTTGGATGGGGTGGTTTGTTGTCACTGTGTACATGTAAGTATCCATGGGCTTAAAGAAATTATATAATATCTACATTGAAATAGTATTTACCCCTTTTTAAAACAATGCTTCCAGATTCTTGAAGCCAAAGTAAAAGAAAAGAAGTAAACTTCAAAATTTTATACTATATGTATTAAAGATCTTCTAGTACCATCTAGCTTATATTTGACTGACTATATGGAATAAAATTGTCTTTTTTTTTTTTTTTTGAGTTATGAACAGACCACAGCAATAGAAAATTGTAGCAGTCTGTGAAAAGAAGCAAAAGTAATTTATGTATTTATTTATTTGTTAATTTTGGAGGAAAAATACTGAAGCACTGAAGCATCAATGAGTCATATTTTTTTTTCCTGAACAGAAAACCTTCCAACTAAAACAGTGAACACCAAAAATGCCTAGAAAAGGTTTTGTAAGGAAGACCACAGAAAAACAGATGATATTAAAAAAAAAAAAAGAAAAAGTTCAAATTGTCTTATTTGACTAACTTCATATACATTGATTTTATGGGGACAGATATTTTACTAGGATTTTTGGAGTACTTTATGGACAACAAATCAGAAAGTTATTTTTTAAATGCTATAATTTATTTTATAAAAGTAATAAACCCACACACTACAGCTTTTTTTTAACAATGAAAAGTGAAAGACATTGCTTCCGTCTTGGCATGTATATACTTTTGGATTCTAACAAAACCTGTCTATGTCTAGCAGTTTCTTAAGAGGCCCTACCTGTGCCTTGACAAGATTCCGCAAACAAAGGTAAGAGGGAAAGATGACAACATAAAAAATTTGTGGAAATTATAGTAGTCAGGAAAATCAATTTTAAGTATTTAAATCAACCCAAAGTATTTTTTTTTTTATTTTAAAAACAGATTTCAAGACTGTTTTCAGTGAACACACCAAAAAAAAGGACTCAAGAAAGAGCAGAAAAGTAAGGATGGCCTAGAGAAAGCTATTTGGGTATGAAGGAGTTAGAAGCCCTAACTTTATGTCGTGGTTCCGCTCGAGTGGGCAGCCGAGCTCCACCACAGCCGCTCTCTCACTCCCCCTCCTCAAAGAGGAATGGGGAGAAAATATGTGAAAGGGGCTCAAGGATTGAGATAAGGACGAGAAAATCACGCAATAATTAGTGTAACGGGCAAACCAGACTCAGCATAAGAAGACAGATAGTAAGATTTATTGCTCATTACTAACAAGCTAGAGAAGTGAGAAACAAAGGAAAGAAACCAAAAGCACCTCCCCCCCCATCCACCCTCTTCCACCTCCTCCCCCCGAGCGGCACAGGGGAACGGGGGAATGGGGGTTATGGTCAGTCTACAGCACTTCTTCTCTGCCGCTCCTTCTCGGTCACTCTCATCCCCTGTGCTGTGGGGTCCCACCCACGGGATGCAGTCCTTGATGAACTGATCCAGCGTGGGCTTCGCACAAGCAGCAGATCTTCCAGAACTGCTCCAGATATGGGTCCGTACCACGGGGTCCATCCCTCAGGAGAAAACTGCTCCAACCTGGCTCCCCTACGGGCAGCAGCTCCTGCCAGGTCACCTGCTCCTGCGTGGTCTCCTCTCCACGGGCTACAGGTCCGGCCCGGAATCTGCTCCGGCAGGGGTCTTCCACAGGCAGCAGCCTCCGTCGGTGCAGGGCCACCTGCTCCACCGTGGTCTCCTCTCCACGGGCTGCAGCGTGAAACCCTGCTCCACCGTGGTACTCCATGGGCTCCAGGGGGACATCCTGCTTCACCATGGTCCTCACCACAGGCCGCAGGGGACTTCTGCTCCGGCGCCTGGAGCACCTCTCCCCCTCCTTCTACACTGACCTTGGCACCTGCAAGGCTGTTTCTCACTCCCTTGACTCTCCCGGCTGCTGTGTGGCGCAGCAGTTTTTTCCCTGTCTTAAATATGCTCTCACAGAGGCGCAAAACAACATCGCTTATTGGCTCAGATCTGGAAAACAATGGGGCCCTTCCCAAACATGGGGCGGCTTCTAGATCTTTCTCACAGAAACCACCCCTATGGCCCCCTGCTACCAAAGCCTTGCCACGTAAACCCACTACACTTTATCAGCATTAAAACAAGGAGACTGGATGAATTTATTTCAGAAGTATGAAAGGGAAGGGTACATGGCAACATGGAAGATAAGAATATAAGGAAACAAGGAAGATGCAAAGCACTTTGGTTAAAAAGTTGGACCATATAACCTTGTATACCTCTAGTAGGTATTTAACATGCCCAAAAAAGATAAGCACAGAATTAAAGAATAATGGAGGTCATATGGGATTTCTGGAAGTCATCTCATTAAACCTCCAAAGAGAAAAAAAAATGCAGAAAGTACAAGGAAATCCTGGCAAATAACTACAAAAAATGACAGGAGGATACAAAGGGGAATAGACATGCAACTACAGGATGAGGAAATGGATAAACATGTTGATAGTGATAACTGTATCAAAAACAATGTAATGGGATAGAAGCCAATCCAGAACAGATTTCTGGTGAAGAGCTAAACAGTAAGCCATTCAAGGAGAAACAGAACAAGAAGCTTCCAATGCAGTTACCATAAATTGTCTAAATAGTTTCATAATATTCCCAGAAAACATTATGATCTACAGAGAACAAGGCTGGATTCACTTCACAAGATGAAATGCTGCTTTAATTTAGCATTTATCATGACAGCAAATAAGTAATATTCCAGTCAACTTTCAAAGGTTGGAAGACTTGGTGTCAACAGGATTTTTGTGTTCTAGCTTTAAGAGAGAGAGACAAAGCAAAACAATTATAAACCCTTAACAATATTTAATTCCACTTTTGTGAACTCCAGTCAAGCTTATGTACATAAACACTAGGCATTAATCATATGCTGGTAAGCCAAAGAGTTCTGGTTTGAAGTCCTCCATGGAGTTCAGCAATAGAGTTGCCTCCTTTTTAAGATCTGGATTTAAATTTTCATCTGGTATCATAACCACTTGCATTCCTGCTGCCAGTGCTCCTTTGACTCCTAGTGGTGAATCTTCAAACACAAGACACTGAGAAACAAAGGGGTGAGGGGAAAGAAGTAAAAAAAAATGTTAATACAAACTTTGTATATTCTTTTTTAAAAAGAGAGAATTATACTGAATAAAAATTAGTAGGAAAGCAAACTTCAATTTTTGGCCTAGATATCCCTAATTAGAACAAGGGTAAACCTATCAACTGGAACATCTGCATGGTAATTATCTTTACAGAATCACAGAATCACAGAATTTCTAGGTTGGAAGAGACCCCAAGATCATCGAGTCCAACCTCTGACCTAACGCTAACAGTCCCCACTAAACCATATCCCTAAGCTCTATATCTAAACGTCTTTTAAAGACTTCCAGGGATGGTGACTCCACCACTTCCCTGGGCAGCCTGTTCCAATGTCTAACAACCCTTTCGGTAAAGAAGTTCTTCCTAACATCCAACCTAAAACTCCCCTGGTGCAACTTTAGCCCATTCCCCCTCGTCCTGTCACCAGGCACGTGGGAGAACAGACCAACCCCCACCTCACTACAGCCTCCTTTAAGGTATCTGTAGAGAGCAATAAGGTCGCCCCTGAGCCTCCTCTTCTCCAGGCTGAACAAGCCCAGCTCCCTCAGCCGCTCCTCGTAGGACTTGTTCTCCAGGCCCCTCACCAGCTTCGTCGCCCTTCTCTGGACCCAAATTCATTTCAATTCAAAAAGGCATCTACACGCATACTTAAATCCCAACAACTGGTTATCCAGATGCTCCTAAGCAAATCCTTTTCTGGTGATAGGTTTAAGCACAAGCTTAAAGCAAAGCATGTGCTTAAATACCTTCAACATAACTCTATAACTTTATAACCTGTAAAATGGCAAAAGTAGTGCTTTCAATTGCAGGTGTGACATTTCTTATGTGTATGAGAGTGGCAAAGGCTACAGTACCCAGGTCAATATTAGGACCCTAGGTAAGTAAGACAGAAGTTATTTGACAAAAGAGTGCTCATGAATTCACATTCTAGTTTCTTAGTTCCAAAGCAATGCTGACAAAGAAAATCAGCAATTATATTGGACTGTTACTCTTAGAGAAGGGGCAGTATAGTCAGGTAAAATTCTGTATCTTAAAATAGTCAAAATCATTCAAGATTGCAGTATGGAATCTAAGTTGTTAAAAATAATGAATACATTATACGTGTGAATTTTGTACTTTAACAGTACAATATTCAATAATAAATATATAACATAGTATTTTGGAAATTGAAATGCTATACTATTTTGTTTAAAACTTCAACTCTTCAGTATTTCAGCATTTCATACTAATCTAGTAATCTGGTTAAATTACTGTTAGTTTTGATTATTGGATTAAAATTTTTGTATTTTTTTTTTATTTTTTTTTTCTGAAAAAAAGCAGGCAGTTAAAATCTAGTATTTTGTAAGTCAATCTAAAAGTACTTTTCACTATTTTGTTTTGATTAATACACCAACTGTAAAAATTGAAATGTTGTAAAAAAACTAATCAAAGTAGCAGAAATGAACTATCCTACCTCTTTATACCATGCATATAGTATGCATTATCTATGTAGGTACACATATATAAAATACACAAAGACTGGAAAAACTTTGAAGAAAAAAATAAAAGGTGTATTCTTAGGGAAACAAATTACACAGATTTATTGGAAAATAATATCTATGGTTAATTTAATGAAAAAATCATGATCACAGTCAACTTAATAAACTTCCAGATACAATAGGACAATTCATTAAAAGTAAATATGATTATAACAAAGATACAATCCCACCTTCAGTAATGTTTGTTTTGCCTAATTCATGGTTCATTAAGAAAAATTAGAAAGCTTCTTCAACACCTGACTTAGAATTAGACCTTGACCCATGCTACTTCTTATCCCTCCCACTGCTGCAGTAATTTTATAGTGTTGTCTGTTTAGATCTCAAAAATATAATATGTATAAATAAGTGAAGTGCTGAAAAGTTTGCCCTTTCAACTTTTTTGCATATATCTGAATAATACTGCAGTTTTTGCAATCAGCCAGTGTACCACTTCATAGAACTTTTCCATACTTTGTGGCTAGGATACATTTCAGCAAAACCTAAACATTTCCCAGACATGAAATACCATATTGAAGAATTAAAGTAATTGAATTAAATTGAAATATGTTTACATATTTTAAATTGTGTTATAATGGCAGAATCATTTTATTTTTTAAAAATTGGTAATTAGTAACACTGAACATAAAGTTTTTCCTTTCAACAAAAGTTGTAAGAAAGACAGCAATTACTATTTACTACACCAGTAGTTTTGCAGTCCTATTAGCTGAGGACCATACTAAGGACATGAAATGGGCCAAATGACTTTAGCACCAGTTAAAACACTCTTAAAAGAATTTCACAAACACATTTCAACTGGATTGTCAATGATTCATACAAATTCAGGTGGATCATCTAGTCTGAACTTCTATATAATAGACGATAATTCTTCTGGAGTTCATTCCTGTATAAAATATAGCATCTCTTCTTCATGTTAAGTGGTCTTGAGTTTGAATTTTTGGTCATAGACAATACAAAACAACCTTTAGTGTCCAAGTACCCAAGAATTCTGACCTGTGCTGACATACGGTGTCTAACAGTTCTGCAATTCAGACTGCATCTATTATCAATATTATTAGCAGTGCTACTGCTACTAATATACTACTACTAATACACTAATAATATAAAAATCACTGCTACAAGTCATTTCAGTAATTCAATACAGACTTTGGGATGATAAGTACAATGTTCCCTACACCTTTCAGACATTGCAATTCTGCCTTATCATAAATTTCTCTCTCATCCATTAGGCATTTGGTAAACTCTGCAGTCATTACCAAAGTATCAAACCCCTTCCTACATACTCAGGATGGGTTTTCTTACCTTTTTCTTCACAATACAATAGATTGTGGCAACTGATACTTGCTGGATGAGAGCAATGAATTACTAAACTTAATTTAACTGTTGACTGAATTGAGATTTGATGCACTGGGAGAACATACATCAGTACACTGCATCTTTTAGGCTCCTTAAAACACTTTGACCAGAAAAGATTAAGGATGTACTAAGTTTATTTTTTCTGGCTGTGATCTCAGAAAACCAAGCTGCACCCTGTAAAAACTTTTTTATGATCAAAGAAAACATTTTTGCAAGACATACTAAATAGATGCACTATATGTCTCTATGTTGTATATCTATGACCTATATCAGACCGGATCAGAAAAGAGGAAGCAAACCCTTTCTGCTTCCTTTTCTTTTTAAAATATTTGCCCTTGCCCATCAAGATGTCAGCAACTACTTGGAGTCAGTCAAGGAAAAGCAAAATGTGCCTTCTACCTTGCATTTCATAAAGCAAACCTCAACTAATGAATTTCAATGAGGCAATGGAACCAAACCGATCTCTCTTGTGTTAATTTCCTTTATACACTCTCTAAATTCCTTCTTTTCCTACTCTGTTTTGATCAATGTGATATTTTCAACTGTTGATCAGTATTTGTACTACAAATATGTAATTCTGGAACAACTGTTAGGACTGAAGTACAGTTCTGCCTAAAGGTTTTCTTCTTAAGAACAGATTAGTTTGTGACCCTAAGCACTCTATGCATTCACAAACAGTAAATGAAGCCCTGGCAGGCTCTCCCTTTTGAAGACTAAGCTTAAACGTTGCACAGAACAGCATTATCAAGGCTTTTCAGAAACTTTCTAATCCAGTCCATACAAAGAAATGTACTTCACTGCTCTGCCTTGAAAGACCTAATTGACTTCCATGATGTCAGTAAGCTTAGTGTAAGAGAAGAGACAATGATTATGGAATGCAATATGCATAATGAAAAGCTTAACTAATTCCCTAGAACTAGAAGCAATTAAAACTCTTAATTACCAAAGAAACCAGGCAAATGACCCATAATTATAGTGACTTTAATGTTACAGGAAATAAGTGTACTAGGTCTTCCTCCTGTCTTCCTCGCTACTGACACTTATTGTCAACAGCACAGAAACATTTTTAATGGATGACGAAAGGTTTACAGAGGTCACGTACAAAATGGATTTATTAACTTTGCTGCACAGAGATGTTATAAACTGCTCACTGTCCTGGCCCACCCACACACTAAATTTAGAGATATGAAAGCAGCCAAGTTCTTCCCCATTTTGCATAAATATTGCAACATCAGCATCACTCCAACTGAGAGAGACAGATGAGATTTATACAGACTTCAGCTGAGATTCTGGCTCCTTGTCTGCATTACTTGTATAACTTGTGTCACTGATCAATACTACTGCTATGACATTTCTCAAAAGGTCATACTAATACAGGACAGTTTTCACTTTGGAATGAACTAGATACTTTAAAAAGTAAAGTACTAAAGCACACTAATTTATATTTCACTCTGTGGATCTAGAAGAAAGAATTAATCACTCAACCTAAGAAAGAAATATTAAAATCACTGCAGCACTTCATTAACTCATATGCCTAGATGAAATTTAAGAATATAAGAAAACAATTGCTAGTCAGGCCTTTGGAATGCACAGCAGGTCCTGTCCAACCTGTGTACTGTAAAGTGGATGGAATAATTAAATAGCTAATAGGGATATCCTTAAGTGTTAATACTATTAGTGATAATCAAAGAGTCTGGAAGGATAGAAGATTAAAATCAGTTTTGAAATTAATATTTTGGAAAGCCCGCATGTAGAATAATGGGAAGTGCTTAGGGAACACATAACCTTGATCACCTATGACATTATTGTATCAATTCTAAAATAGAATTCCAGATGAGACTAAAGATGGCATAATTTATATACATATAACATTTTTGCAAATTAAACACTACTATCTACTGTTTTATAAAGAAACAATAAAAAAAAAAAAAAACACTCTTAAAAATGGTAAATACAGCCTAAAATTATTTTTTATTTTGTTAGAATACAACAATATAATATAACTCCTGTTGAATCAAAACAAAAAGCATAAACAGTGGAATTCTGAGGTTTCAGATAGTAGTTCT